GGAGGTGGCAAAAAAAGCTACTCTCAGGAGATCCACATGCCCTTACTATGGCGTTCCCACTGGAGACGGTATTCTGGGCCAAGGTCTAATAACACATTATGTTCTGAAAGGTGCATTTCGAGTGATTGCATGTGAATGAGAAAAGTTTCAAACTTTTTATGAATAAAATTATTTTTTGGCACGGGCATCCAGTCTTACTCCTGAAGGGGTACCTTAAAGTTCAGCTCCAGTGCCAATTAAACCCACCTGAAACAGCAGGTCTTCAGGATTTCTAGAAGCTTTCAGGCTGGTTAATTTGGAGCTCAACTCATGGAAAAAGTTTGCCCTCCAGGAACAGGATTTTACACCCCTTGTCATTGGATTGTGAACTGTGACAGTTCGCAAAAAGAGTAAGACAGTAATTCTATCAAATTAAATCAAACAAGAGACCATCCCTATCTAGAGTGCTCATAGCTAAACTAGCAAGAAGACTTGTGGTCCCGCTAAACAACATTTTACTAATAAACTGTACAAAACCATAAACCAATTGCTAATCTGATCTACAATTAATCATTCCAGGATTCTTGCTTACCAAGCTATGTGGAGATCAATTCTCAAGGAAATTGTTAGAATAGTGGCTAATTTGTACAAATCCATACAATTTATTTCATATAAAAACCTTCAATATTCAAACGGAGGCGTACCCCAAAACCCCCACACTGCTCATATCACTCAAGTTGGTGACATATAGTTTGCCTGACCTTTGTTTTGAACTTTCCATCAATATCTCTCCCTGATCAAACACAAAAGAGAGCTTTCAGTCATGAACGAGTGACCTCAGTTTTATGGAGCACAAAAAAGAAAGCAATACTGTACTGTAACTGCTCCCACAACAGCACCCCATCGCCCATGACGTGCAGATGAATAACACCATAAACAGGGAGAATACGCTTTATTTTACTTCCGACCTCTGCTTCCCACCGCTCCCTGCTAAAAACAACAGCATTAGGCTCTAATGGATACGCTGGAGAGCCGGGTTCACCTTCGCCATTACTCCCCAGGCCTCCGCACCCAGCGGGCAAGGCACTCCATCAGCCCCAAGGTCAACCTGATAGTTGCCCCTGTTCTCCAGCCTCTCTGATGATGCCCCTCACCCCTGGAGCGACCCCCCCTCCTCACCTCAGATCACTTGTGCTCTCCCTGTTCTCCTTGCCCTGTCCTCTCCAGGTCCCTGGATGCCACCTGATGATGAATGGAGCACAATTAGCTCCATCCAGCACTGCACTGGATTCGCCCCTGCCCTCTCTATCCCGCAAAAATGAGGCCGTCAAACTGGGAAAACATCATCAAGCCGGGCACCAACAGAGAAACCAATATAGCTACTATAGATTTACAAAACCACAGATTTCCAAAGCTGATTTGTAAGAAGGTGGTCGAAAACAAGTGTTCTGTATACTTAAGATTGTTTTGAGTAGGCCTGATTGTGTTCAGATATGTTTCTTAGGCACAAAGAATCACAATTGTTTTAACATTCTTTACTTGTCAACTTTGTTCAGACTACATGATTTTCAAAGTAGTCATGTCACAGATGTTTTCACACTGCATGACTATCTGGGGTAGCGTTTCGTCAAAGACAAAATACACAAGACGTGTCACTCGTACACTTTTGAATGGGGAAAAGTGTAACTGTCAATATGGCGAATGAAGCCCCGCCTTCTAGTACAGGAGTCAATCAGCGATCGCTATACAATGACAATTCTCTGGGGGAGAGGCTCGGACCAGACATGAGTTTCTGCAGATTTTACGTGATACAAACATTTAGAAATGAGACTAAATAGACAGTTGTTGTTTAAGTTGATTGGTTATTTGTAATATAAAATGTAATCGTAAGCTTGGCAAGTAGTTTTGGAGAATTTGATGTTTCCCCATTCAAACAGAATCTCCAAATATACTGCCTGAGAGGTGTTTCAAACATACCTGCCAACATTTGGATCATAAAACTTGGGAGCTTTAATCTGGGGGGGGGGGGGGGGGGCGCGCAAAGTGAAGTGCGGTGGTAAGGTGCGTGCAAACTGAAGAGCGGGAAGCGGGTATGAAGATGGTTGCACGTTGGGTTGGGTGCGCATGGGGACTGAACCAAAAAGCTAACCGGACTGCACCAAAAAGCTGAGGAGCGGGGGTAGGGAGTAGGTGGAAATCTGGGAGTTTTCCGGAAGACCGAACAATACGGAAAATGGGCGGGAGAGTTGGCAGGTATGGTTATAAAGATGGCCACAAAGTGAAATGACTTGCCTTACAGGGACTTTGGTTTTGTCGCTGCTGTGTTTACACTACAAGATGGCATGGCAACAGGGGGTTTATTAACTACAGCATATAATGAGAAAGAAGCCTTTAGTGGTGAAGAAAATTAACTTATTTTGCTCACCTGGGTTTTGAAGGGAATTAGCAATTTCTCCTCAACATTTTTTTCTCTTTCGACCCAGTTGGTTTTGATCAGATGACACGTCAAACAGACACGAGTGCTCCAGCCAAATTTCTTCTTGGGTCCAAATAGACTGAAAAGAAGCACTTTTAACGTTTCCCCCAACCTCCCGCTGACCTATACAAGTAGATGCTGCTGTCTCACACATCATGACTTTAAATCACGCCAGTTAGATATTTGGCATGCTAAATATCTTGAGTTGTCAGCAACTTATCTGCTATTCTTTCAGATCGCATCTTTGATTCAATTTGTGTTATTGTTACTCGCGTGAACAAGAACCGATTTGCCTGGGATTTCGGACATTTGTCTGCGATTTCTCAAAACCTGACAACAAGGCTAAAATCATGCAGTCTGAACCCAGCATTAAGTTCCATTTTTGTCAATCCAATCATAAGTAGATTGTGCTAAACACAAGTCTAATGTCTAAAGTGGTTTTAACTTGTCTTATTAAGACCTCTTGCAGAGGTATTAGAAAACACATTTAATCAAATAGTGTAGATGCTTATGTGGTCGAATATGTTCAAACAGTCCAAAATATTTACTCTCCACTTACTGATTTTTATGGAAACTGTTGTTAGAAAGTACAACAAAATACGGTATTCATACTTTGCTATGTGTACCAAAACAAATTATATTTGGTCATTCTATGGCTCACTTGTTAGCTGTGTATCACGATTGTGCTCATCAATGGCATTTACCTGCTGCAAAGGAACACCCCTGTAAAAGGGATGTAGATTGCAAAAGAAATAAGTAAGAATGGTCTTAATGTTTGTGGATACCAGGTGAAAACAGTAATGTGCCTTGCATCACTAATTTATTACATAATTATTCCATTTAAAGGGATAGTTCAAGCAAAACTAAAACATTTCTTCCTAATTTACCCACTCTTTACTTGTTACAAACCTTTGTGACCTTCTTCTGTTGAACAATAGAAGATATGCTAAAGAAATCTGGAAAACAGTAACCATGAATATTTGATTTTCCCTCTATGGAAGTCTTTGGTTACAGGTTTACAGTTTCTTCAAAATATGCCCATTAGTGTTCCACAAAATAAAGAATCTCATAAAGGTTTGAAACAACTTAAGGGTATACAGTATAGTGAAAAAAAATTGAATGACCTATCCCTATCCCTGGCAATTTGTTTTAAAATAAGACAACTTTGTTGTCCTTATTAAGCCTCACTCACACTATGAGTGACTCACAGCGGCAAAGAGACGAACAAGCTTTCATTTCAACGGAGAGTGAGCGACTTCCGGTGACCTCCGTCTACTCAAGCGACAGTGACTGGTGTTGACCAGGAGGATGTGTCGAGCGAAAGTTGAGAACCCTTCAACTTTCTGCAAATGAAAAGTAAGATTCTTGAGCAGCAGCCAATAGCAGCACCAGTAAAGCTCACATGATGCTCTCTCAGCATGCTTAGAGGTTGGTTGTATTCTCCATGCTGTAGACCTGCACAGACCTGCAAAGTTGCTGCTAGTGTGAGTGAGGCATTACTCGACCAATCAGTTGTTGGACTAGGTAACCATCATGACCCATCCCTAAAAGGTACTATGGTGTTTAACTTTTTACGTTTGCAATCCAATGCCCCAATACACTTGAAATTCCAAAAAGTCACTCAGTTCTCTATTACTTATGAATGTGCTGAGATGCCATCTACAGTCAGTGCATGTACACATTCTCATTTTCAAAAGTTTCCTTGAGGGATGCGCTTCTCAAAAGGATATAAATGGCAATGGCATTCCTCCACTTCGGAGACAAACATCAATACACCCTCATAATTCATTCATAAACCATCTTCTTGGAAGCTGCTTTCCTTGTATATACAGCACAGGTTCGGTGTTCCTTTATCAAGAGCTGTACTGCAAATGAACTTCTCTGAGGTGACTTCATTGGGTAAGCCGTGTTAGGTCAGCCACTGGCTGTTTGTCAGGCTAGTATGAAATAGGTTAGTGACAGCATGGGCATGTATTCTCTAAAGCACTCTGAATGCTTTTACATACAGTGCATAGATGGTAAGGCACAATGACATGTTTAAGCTGGGGGTGTCCAATCCAAATTCTATCAGGTCAACATTCTGCAGACTTTAGCTTCAACCAACTTACTTAGACTTCCAGTTGTTTTCAGCCTTTAATTAGTGAGTAAATGTACATTTTTAAATGATCTATCTCTTAGTTTGGCTGGTTCAGGGCTGAAATTAAACTCTGCAGGAATAAAGTCACCTTCCAGGTATAGGTGTGGACACCCTGGAAAAAACCCAACCCCAAAAGACACTACTTTCTACCAAGCGTGTTACCGTATTTAGGTGACCTTGCAGTAGCATCCGACAAACAACCCATGAAGCGTAGAAAGTTTCCAGCTGTTCCAGAGTCCAACAAAAAAGGCTAACACTGATCACCAGGCTAGTTTTTCAAGAATAAAACATGAACAGTGACAACTGAGAACAAAGTGATAGGTGAAAGGGAGCGACACACAACCCTGCTTGGCGTGACAGACGATGAGCCATAGAAGTGAGACACAGGGACATACGGACCGCACTTACCACCATCACACGAATCCACTCAAAGTGCCAGGAAGCCAAAATATCCGCAAGGATATGGCTTTCCGGCAGCCGGCCATCCTGGGAGGGGACTGAGCCAGGCACCTTGTGGACCAGAATAAATTGAGATCTTTTTAAATCAGGGCTACAAAAGGAACATAGTTAGACAAAATAAAAACATTGATGGCTACTAAGATGGCTTAGGACCCTTGAGAAGGAGAGGGAAAAAAAATCCACCTGATGTAAAGGCAAAAAGAGAAATCAAACAATGAAGCTATTTTACCCAACAAGACAATGCCCTGAATGTGTAAAGGATTTTTCTAATCTCTCTTTATTAGCCAAACATGATTAAAATGCAGTTCCTAGGAGCATCTCTCCCTAAATAAGAAGAAAAAGGGGGGAAAAAAAGTCAAAAGCATCTTTTACAGCATGAAGCTTTTTCATCTTTTAGAGGCGCTGAGAAGAAAAGGAGCCAGAGAAGCACAAACATGCACTCATTCTTTCTGTATTCTCCTTAGCACTGAAGAAAGCCACGTTACCTGAGGATATGCATCGCGTATCACAAGCTCAATAGCCCCAGAACAAGTTTTCAGTCACAGTTTTTCAAAGTAATAAAAATAATCCCTAGCACACTCTTTAGTCCAATTACATACTGCCATGTAGCTATCGCCCAGATCAACCCCCTGCCTCTGCTCGGCTGGCTTTAACCCTCCGCGTGTTATCTACAGATAAGGCTCGCTTGTAATGCTAGATTCTAGCGGACCTAAATGTGCATGAATCGGGATCAGATTGTCAGCATTTCGCAGCGCGGAAAGGTTAGCTATGTTTCTCCCTGCTAAAGTGGCTTTGGTGAGGTGGAGAGAGCGTGTAAGAACAAACCTCAGAGAAGATATTTTGCGAATACTTCTACTTTGCTTTTTGTAATGATATATATCTACTATTTCTAGTTTTTACACATTTTGCTCACAAGATGCTTTCCATTAGAGTGTATATACATAAAATACATATACCACACATTAGATTTGCATTCCTACACTATGCGCACCTGGATCTCGGCTATATGGTCAGCAGTGTTGGGCAAGCTACTTGAAAAATGTAGCTAGGCTGTTAGCTACTCTATGTAAAATGTCGCTTAACAACACTAAATACTACCCTCTGGGAAATGTAGCAAGCTAAGCTAAAAGCTACTTGGCAGAAGTAGCTTAGCTACATCAAAGCTATTTTTGCATTTTTTTATTATTTTTTTTTTAATCGAAGCAACTTAAATCCAAGTCAATCACATCTTAGTGATCAATAAAACTTTCAATGAATCATATGAGGCATAATTGTTCAGTTAAATTATTTATTGCAAATAATAAACTGTACCAAACAAAAACAAATTATAGTATATAACAGCAAACACAAAAACTCCAATAATGCCAGGTGTTACCATTTATAATACTATAGTCATTTATAGCAAAGGGAAATATTTAGGAATAAGCATTATATTGTATTACATATTTACAACTATTCAATAATAAATTTTTACACTACATAGAGAAGTATCATTATTAACTATCATGAACTAATAGTAATTACCATAGTATATTTTAGGCTTGACTTTAAGTAAACTGTATATATCCTCTCTCACAGTCATCTTTCAATCAAGTAAGTTTCTTGTGTCAGCCTAATGATTGTTTAGCGATATCACCGACCAGATCGAGAGGTGGCAGTAACACGGCAAAAAGTGTGTTGTTGACCACTGTAAAACAGGTAGAAGAAGAAATCGTCATTCTCAACCCCATATGGATTTACTTTCATCGGCTAGATACCGGCCTCACAGCTCTGTGAATGTCAGTGACATCACTTAATAATCCGCCATCGGTAAATGTAGCTTGTGTGGATGCTACTGCTTAAACTTGCTTAAACTAATAGCTTCGCTACAGAAAAGCTATTTGATTTAGAAAGAAATGACGCTACTGCCAAGCTAATTAAGCTAAATTAAGCTAGTAGCGTCACTGCTTGTTGCGACGCTACTGCCCAACGCTGATGGTCAGGTTTCTCAGCAACTGTCATGATGGAACAACAGTTTAAGACTGGGATACATTAGATCAATGTTTGTAAAACACGTTCCTGGAGGACCACCAGCACTGCATGTTTGGGATGTCTCTGTAACACCCATTACAGGTCTTTCAGTCTCTGCTAATGAGCTGATGATCTGGATCAGGTGTGTTTACTTAACCCTCCTGTCAAGTTCACCTTCCACTCCTTACTTTAGTGTTCCCAGTCAAAATTCAGTCTCTTTAACTGCTCTTAAATAGCTCAAAAAGCATTTTTCACCGCCAATTTTTTTTTCAACGTTCTTTAGCTGTGAACAATGTATTTATAGAATTAGACATAAAATAACAGTCAAAATACAATTAGGCTCCGAAAAAGTATTACAAAATGAACACGTAATATCATGGAGGTAATCATGTAGGAGGATTGGCACACAAGCACAGGAAAAAGATGTGTACCCACAAAAGACATTGCTCAGTCTGAAAGGTGTGTGTGTGAGTGAGTGAGTTGGGGTGGTGTCTATGGGGATGTTTTCTGTTTTATGGTTGAATATTGACTATGTACCCGTTCATTTCCTATGGTGGCCAGTTTTGAACACCACAGGATAACACCGTTGATTAAAACACTCAAAATTCAATGAAAGAGGTGATCATCACTTTTATATATTCAAGTGCATAGTGTGGAGGATATCATAAGACTTTGAGGCAATCAGATGTAAAACACAATATATATGAATGTTTGAAGTTGTAAAATCAGGAAGGTTAAGGAAACATGGAAAATGTGCAGAACTGGTGGTCCTCCAGCAATGTGGTTAAGAAACACTGCCTAGATGACTTTCAAATATTAACAGAGTTTAAAACCATATAAAACCAATTCAATCCTGTTCAGAGTTGTTTTGGGTAAGTATGATCTTTCTTTCTTTCTTTCATTTTATTTTATTTTATTTTTTAATTAAAACAATATTTTATTTTATTTTATTTTTTTATTTTATTTTTTATTTTATTTTATTTTATTTTATTTTATTTTATTTTATTTTATTTTATTTTATTTTATTTTATTTTATTTTATTTTATTTTATTTTATTTTATTTTATTTTATTTTATTTATGGCCCTGAACAAAAAAATAAGCATGGGTATATTTGAAGAAATATTTGAACATTCAGTAAAAATCTGCATTGCAACTGTATGTAAAAATAATCACTGTTAAGTGTAAATAATTACTTTAAAAGTGATTTTCTCAATATTTCAATTTTTTCAACCCTTGGCTTCCAGATTTTTAAATAGTTTTGAGCTAAACATTTTAATCTCCTACAAAAACATAAAAAAGTTTGTTTATTCAGCTTTTGGATGTTGTATCTCTTTAATGAGATAGTAATAACACACATATGAATGGTTTTGTGGTCCTGAGAGTCATCAAAATGACTATAACATATTTATAACAAATATTTATTTATTTTTATTCTTCTTATGGGCTTTCGTTTTGAATTGGATTTAAAAAATTGACTCCCTGTGTATTTTTTTTAATCTTTTTTTTTTTTTTATAAAATTCAAAACATCTCAAAACTAAAAAAAAAAATGTATTTGTGATCACGTAAATGCATCCCTCTCACTGTTATATATAACTAAAAAAATCTGTTACCCTGTCTTAACAAAATATATCTCGTTGACATAACTGTATTAATGAGCTGAATTAACTTGGTTGTCTAAAGTTGATTATTACGTTTCAGTTTAGTAAAATGATCAAAACACCTTCAAATCTTACCAGCTCCTCAACCCCTAATACTAAATTATGCTGACCTTATTCTGAAATACAGAAGTGTGCTTGTCTTTGCAATTGTTTTGGAACTTACAATTCAGCTGGTTATGGGAGAAATGACTAGGAATAATAACAACATAGGCTCATTCTGAAAACGTAGCCCTATGTACATTTCTAGAGATCACAAATTATGTAGGCAGAACTATGTATGGCTGCATTTCATCTTTAAAAGGAACGCTATGGGGCAGTATGACACCATTTTCTCACTTAGCAGCTGACTGCTCACCTCTGTATGGACAGCTTTCTAGCTGTTACCAGTTTTTTCGGTAGCTCGACATGTACGTTGGCCGAGACACAGAGCGGAGTTGATCGCTATAACGGGGATCGAGTCAGGTGAAAAACAATTCTGGAAACCAGGAAATACAAAAACAATAGCTAAAAAATAAAAGAAACAAGTAAATACCAACGAGAATGTGGTAAAATCTGAAAAACTGGTAAAAATCAGGTGAAGGCTTTTCTTTTTCTGAATTGCTTTTTAAAACTGTCGGTTGGGTTTCGGAAGTGGGTGGGCAGGTCAGACGGTGCTATTGGTTGGATTTAGGAAAGGGGGTGGGGTTATCAGTCGGTCAGTCAGTAAGTCAGTCAGTCGACAGCAGCCTCTGGTGGATTTATGTGAGAACAGCAAGCGTGAATCTGTAAAAGCATAGACAGCGGCCTCAAGGGGATTGGCAAATACAAAAACTGAAAGTATATATATATATATATATATATATATATATATATATATATAGCTTCGGGGACCTATTTGAAGCTCTTTAGAAATGTATATAGGAGTACATAAACAGAATGAGCCTGGGTTGAATAACAAAGTGCAGAAAATAGTTAAACTACTTGCTCTACAAACAAGTGTTCATGACTATACATAAAAAGTATAATTATATAATACAAAAAGATCCATTTGCAATACCAAGCAGCATAAGAAACTCTTTCTGAACTCTGAAAATCAATGGGAATGAATGAAACTGGATTTCTCCAGCCAAAAAAAAAAAAAAAATCCAATGGTATCTCTGCTTTATACATGAAGAATAAGGTCAACAGCTTACAATGTTGTTTATTTAAAACAAACTATCACACTTTATGCAACAGCTTGCAACATGTTGGCCACTCATCACATATCTTGATTTTTCTAACCTTGAACCAACACTGATTGCTATTAATTCACAAAAAAAAAATAGCCCTTCAATCTGACAATGAACAACTTCCTGTTTTTTCTCTCCTTCTCTGCCACTGTTTTGCTTCACATACATATTGA